ACTAGGTGGATGGCTTGATGGCCAACATCAAGGCGTGGATAGCCCCAAGGATCTAAACTCCTTCGCCTGTAGAATCCGACTGCCTAGCCAATGGGAAGCAGGGCTCGATGTAGACGGTGGATATGTTCCGGAGCAGTTATTTGAACATGTCTTCGCTAGATATTTCTACCGCTTCTTCAAGGTAAATTTGCTGAAAAAAATCCGCAATAATTATGCATCAACCTAATGGAATGAATGTATTTGGTAAATCAGTCGAAAAATTCCAGCACTAGGTGTATTTACCAATTCAGATATTTCGAGCTGAGAGGAAGCTAATCACGCTCCAATGATCAATGCATTTTTATAGCACGCATAATGGAAACAAGTATAAGACATTTGCTGTATGAATAAAACTAGAGGAATATTGCGAATGTTTACGATCAGCGAGTGTTATCGCGATTGCGCAGGGGTTTCAGACGACCAAAAGAGAAGCCGCCATGTGGTGTGCCAAAACAACGGATCCTTAAGCAAACATTGTGGAACATCCTGAAAAACATCCCACGATTGTGGATTTGCACTTCATTTCAGGGGTACTTAACAAATGAAAGCAGACTACATCAAAAAGAATAATACAGCGGGCGCCTGCACTTATATTGTTCACGACCATTGCACTTATATAGCTCGCCCTCGGAATCCATCTCCAACTGAACAAACTATGAATACCTCAAAAGAAAACGTGCTGAACAAATGGCAAGGACAGTTTTACTTTGAAATTCGATGAAGCGATGGTGAACTCGACACTTCTAACTGCAGTGATAAAGGGATGGCGTAACAAGGTCCCCTTAAAGGGTGAAGCGATGCTTTCACAATGAGATTTGTTTGCATGCCATGAGCGATGTTTGTCATTCACGACATCCTAAATCGGCCTAGAAGTCCAAACACATATTGCAACAATTCGACGCAATAATAGTGTGGTAACGCAGGTTTTTCTGCTCCACAGTGTTAAATTTCCCTAGGACATTTTCGGTATGCGCTTTTGAAAGTTAACTTGTGCTGGATTCATCTGAGGAGACCAATACTGAACTGTATAGTGCTTATCTGGCTACTCTACAACTCACGTATACAAAACGCCGCTAAGATTCGATTGGAAACCGGACCTATAAAGTATCCCACAACGGATCAGTTCACGACGAAACATACTAACATTTATCGTGTCAACGCGTAGGACTATGTACGCCTATAGCCTCGTTCTGCTGCTTACTACGAATAAAATCGTCCTCAAAAATGTTATTCTTCCCTTTTGAGGTCAGACCTTCTACATTCAATGAGCAATTCAAATAGTCAACCTTCAATGGTACCCTATAGCGCTATGAAGGGCTACAACGTTCAGTAAGTCGTTAAGCACAGACCTTTTCATCTTCACCGAGATCAAATGATATACACCGGGAGATCCATATGTTGCCGATCGATGGGACTCTGCCGGTGCTCATAGCGAAATAAGGGAAAATTCATTCGTCTATTGTACCTCTAACACTTGATGTTGATCAGTCGTGAATTAATAGCAAATTTTACTATTTGAATATGGTACTGCTTTCATCAGTCTTTATCACGGCAGTTGTCGCTTCTTTTCAGCCCGGGCCTGCTAACCCAATTTAATGTGCATAACATATTGAAAGATTTAAATCTACCGTGAATAGCTAAGTCTAAGGGAACCAGTAGGTCATGCCTTCTTATATTCTCGAGGGTTATGAAAGGTCCAAACATTATTTGCCAAAGATGCCGTTTCACAGAGGCAGCCGTGGTGGCACATTCCTTACTCCATAAAGTTTTGAGTGCCTACTTTACCAAACACCTGCTTCCAGTCCCAATTGGAAAGTACCATATATGGTGAAGGAGAATGCTCTGGAGGTGAGCTCAAGGAACACACCCACGGGTCAAATACCCCGGTTCTTGTCGAATTTGAAAGCACGGTGCCAACCGTTATTGTAGTTTTACGATGTACCGTATTTCCGATTGAATCGCGTACTCATTTAGTGTATCCTTCCATGACGCAAGCTGCGGACACTACCCAAGAAGACCTCCATTCCCTATGTAGTTCACTATCCGAACTTCATGGAAAGGCTGGATCGACCATGGACTCACCCAGGAGCGCTCGATTGCAATGTATGTATGTAAGTTCGCAAAACGGCTGTCGGCAGCTTCGATTAGTTGTTCAAGTCAAACCATATCAAACTCCCAATATACACAGAACCTATCACGATGTACAATCCATCCGTAACTCATAAAGATCATCGCAATGTTTGACAGGGACTATCGTTCAGGTGTCATAAAAAGTCTATCTGAGAAGTCTGAATATACTAGAAATCTATTATAAACTCGCAAGTATAAATAAAACGATATGAGTAAAAGGTTAATAAATTGATAAAACTAGANAATCAAAGAATTGACATCAAGATTCCATCTCGGATGTAAGCTTTGGATTCGGCTTTACCAGTTCTTTTAATCTGAGATCAGCTCGTACTGGGTAGATTCAATAAAGGTGCATGGTTAGCTGGAACGTGATAACTAGGCAAGGAAAATGGTGTGGGATTAGTTGAGAGGCACCAAAACTCGAAGTGAAGGGGGCAGCTCCATGCTGATAAGCTCAATCCTGCGAGAGTTCAACGGCTCATTGACAGGGATCTTAAACAGCGTAGATAAAATGAGTTGTGACAGGGAATCCACAATGGCTTAGCAGTAAACACGTGCATTTAAGCGCTTATCAACATAATGGTGAGCTTCTGAAGAATATTGAGACGTGCTTTTGTTAGCTATGAATAAGAAATGTCATTTTCACGGCGGCCACATCACAAAATAACTCACACGTAGGATTGCAAAGCGTTGGCAACACTGCACATTGATTGCGTGAATCACAATCGCTAGGGTTCAAGTCATGATTAGCATGGGAATACAAAATGCCCGAAACAATACTGGGAAAATCAAATCATGGCATTGCTATGGCAGCGCAAAAAAGCAGAATAGCATAAATGCTGTATATTCCTGAGAAGCTGTAAAAATACACCAAAGCAGCTTTGTGGTTTAATTCTCCAAGATAGTTGATGGCTACATCCAACAGATCTAACACAGGAGCATCAAAAAGACCATAGCAAAATGAACCTACTTCGGTAAACAGTAAACCCAGCGTGGTTCTGTAGCAGAAGCTCGAATTTGTTCGGATTCTAATGGGAATAAACGAACTGTTTCAGGTGATATGCGAAGGAAGACTTCTCCAGAGGAAGTACAATGAACCACGAACCCTGAAGCAACGAATTAATGGTGGCGTTCAAAGACAACACGTTCCAACTAGGTGTTACGGAATACTCACAGATTCTTGTCAAGTTGCAGGGATTCCCTTCTAGGAAAGGTCCTTTGAGTAAAGCCTTACCACATCGATAGTACTGGTGTGATTCGATCCACACAACTAATGAGTATCGAAGGCAATCCTCCAATGAGACGCTGTCAGCTCGATTAATTGATTTGACCTACAAGATCCTCGATCAACCAACCATCTACAAAGCTTCATGCACTTCACAAAAAGTTTGATTTTTGTTCTGTTTTTTCAACATGGCAGTAGATCAGACCGATTAAAATTATTAGATAATCGAAATGATTTTACCCACCGTTACGCTTTGTTTTCGAAGCCACTGGTGAAACTTTGTGGCCGAATTTGAAACGAAGTCGTCCCTACCCACAACCATAATTTCCTTCAGAGAACGTTGAGGTGATACGAGTGTTCCCGACGAGGCGAATTCGTGCAAAAAATCTCTGGATTTCGTAAGTGTGTGAAATAAGTTCCAGTGATTTATAAAAGACATTAAAGTAAGCGGGATTGTTCATAAATATGAATGGCATTCAATACTTTTTCAAAGTAATAAGCTTTGTTTGCATCAATTCAATGAGTACGCTTTGCAGGGAACTACACGTCCGTACAGTCCACCCAGGAATCAATTTCGTGGGCATAAAATCGATATCCATTTCAAAGAATTTGTGGTTGCAGTCAAGTTAAATCTATGCTACCACAACATAAACATTTGAGAGTCTGTCTCTGCAACGAATCGATTGCAACAGAAGGTCCCAGTGGATCCTCAGAAAAGCTTAAGCCTTCAATTCCGATTTCGTCTAATTGTAAGATATTATTCCCCCACCTACCTGCACATTTTTTGTTGTACACCATGTGGTGATGCCGATCTGCCGTCAACTCGCTGGTTGATTTCCAAGTGAAGCACTCGACAATTTTCCAGATCGACAGAACAAAGTTTATACATGATGGAATACTGCGGCTACCTGAACAAAGGGAATGTGGTCAGAACGCAGTATTAGTACGCAGTTGTTTCAGAAGTAACAGGGGAGGAATGAGATGACATGCAATCACAATTCATCTCTACGTTCTACAATAAAAAAGAACGGGACTTACACTATAAATGGCCATTTGCGAACACAGAAACGGAGAACGACCCTCGAATCCTACAGTAACCCGGCAATGTTTGCGAGTTCAAGTAGTAGATAAGCCCCGCAATTTAGCGCACCCCCCAGTCACCCCACCCGTTTGCTCTCTCACTCCCCGAGGTCTCTTTTCAATACGTCGTATAAGCGACGGGTGGGGATTTGCGTATCCAAATGGGGTCATGCCGCGAAAGGAAATATGTTGTCTGTGGAATCTTGCGTCCATTGCATGTTACTTCACGCGTGCAAATGAAAGCGGTTCTAGGCCTTATCGATTGCCAGCTATCAGCGACTGTTCCCAGTGCTGGGAACTGTGAGATTTTCCGTCAGACTGTTGAAACCCCCCTCGTTTTACATCTACCTCAAAATAGTCGACGAATGTTATCAGGAAATTGATTGTTTTTCAGAATTTAGGGGACCCACAGGATTCTATGCCAGAGATAACACAGAAGTAGGCTATTGTTGCTGACAAACATTTTTCTCGCTTACGGTTAAGTAGTGTCGCTCGAGAAAGAAGGTGAACGTAGAAATCACCTAGACGAAGATAGTAGGCGGCGGAAAACCCAAAAAATCTCTGTCTTCTACACGCTGTTGGACGAATACGGACTTAGCCTTTGTTGATGACCTTACGTCAAGTGCCAAAAGTATTTGTGCGTTCAACGGATTGTGTATTGACATATCGACATGGGTAACGCAACGCAAAAGTCACGCGGCGCGGCCGATCGATACAGCGAAGTTCATTGCGGTATGCTAGGAATAAGCGCTTCATAGAGTTCAAACAGCAAAGTAATTTTATAGGCATCAGAACGAAGCAAAACTGCTATGGGAGTGCACTTGGTTTGATAAACTTACTATGGAACAGCGAGCAGTTGCTTGACCATGCTGCCCTATTACGCATATCGACGCATGACGCTTGACGCGTCTTGGCTAACATAAAGTCTAGAAGCAATTGCTAACCGGCAGGCCTGAAGAGCATGTTGATCTTTCCGTCTGGCTGCATTCAGTCTTCCCATGAGCCACGAGCGCAGTCCGACGAGTATACGAAGCACCAGTTTGCGCTTAGCACCAGTCATGAACGCGCTTATAAGAGGTCCAGATCATGTACTATCTTGACTTTCTAGTCATAACATGGGACTATTCAAGCGATCGTTCTGTGCGAAAGAAAGCGTTATTTGACCACACTTGAAGCAGTCAGCGATGGACAAAAAAAACGAGAAAACGAGCCGAACAGGTGATAAAGAACGAATGCGCCTTTCCTCAGAGTTGTCCTCGGAGTTACATACATATAGGGATGGAAAGGGGGGGGGGGGGGGGGGGGGGTTAGGATTCTGTTGTCCAGGGATGCTTTTAGATGGTGTGATTATAGTTGCCATCCATCTTGGAACGGACGGTTGCGGTCGTCGAAGGGTGTGGGACACAGGGGTGCGCTTCGTTGCGCGCGTCCGTCGAAACTAGGTCACGCCGCAGCCGTCGCAAGCGGCATGTCAGCCCGCGATACTTGTCGGATGTCGCAATTATCAGTGGAGCATACGATTTGCGCTTGGTCCACAGCAATCAGCTTAAATAGAAGATACAGAGAGGACAAATGCAGATCCTTCGCTCTACCAACACTTGGTGGTACTGTAATGTCATCTCGAGACCTCAGTGGGGTGCGCCGAGCGCGAAGTGGGCGGGGTGACTACTTTCGACGGACGCGGGCAACGGACGTTCTCCGGGACACAGGGAGAGGCTTTACTAGAGATTTTGAAATGCAATGGTCAGCGATCTATCTACGAGCTTCGGATTCAACTTGTTATATTTTTCTAAGATCGATTTGATTTTTTCTACTATTTTAAAATTAACTCTGGAGACTCGTTTCTCTTACCCATCACCTGTCGGCAAAACCGAGGGCAACACATCGACTGGCAGCTGATCAGAAACTTCTTTTAGCGTCATTCATAAAAAATAGTGGTAGTCGTCTAATAAAAGAGGGAAGGGTAAGAGGGTACACCTTGTCCGATCAAATTGCTAGTTTCCACTCGGAACAGAAATTGATATCACCGGTGCTCTGTCTACTCCATGCCTTCAGTTCTCAATTCTCGAATCTGAAGTACTACGTCCCCTTGGTAGGTTGAATAACACTATTATCAGAGAGATTCAGAGTTTTCGAAAAAGAAGTCCCATCAGTGGCTGTTCAGTATCTGGTTCGACATTGCTTGTGCTTCCGGTCAGAGCGCAAGACATTCATCAAGAGAAAATTCAAAAGAGCTTTGCTGTTATTATATCGCAGATTAGACCTGTTCGATATTGGCTACGCTACAACTGGAAAGGAGAAATCGAGAAATACAGCGAAAGTTTACGAAAATCCAAGGCAGCAGAAGCAATAAATGAGAAAATATAGCGCAGATGAAAGCTGCGAATCTGAGAGGTAACACTTCTGGTAGATTCGAGAGGAAATGGGAATTCATTGTAGCACTTGAAATTTAAACCACACGTACTCGCTGATTTATTTTTTAGGTATTTAGTCATCATTATCAAGCACAATTCTTAGACCTTCGCTTGAGATCAGTCACTTTAGCAAATCAGGAAATCTCTTTATTCATACTTCGCTATCGAAGAAGTGGATGACTGGCTGTGGGGAGCCTCAAATAAGGCTGGTCAGGAAGATGGCGAAATCTGAAAGGTTGAGGAGGCTGCACTTCTTGCGTTCGCAGATTTCGTGGTGGAACCACTCTGATCTTGGTCAGGATCGAACTGCTGTTCTGAAATGTTGAAATTATCCTACTTTCAAATACACTGGTGTGCAAAACTTAGGGACGAAAGTAACTTTCGATCATTGTACCTCTGCCAGGCGACAGAGCTCGATGAAATTTCTACCGTACCAATAGAAGATCATTACGGTATTGCACAGGAAGCAACTGGCAGCAAATCGAAATAGGACGAGCAAATAAGACATTTTTATTGAAAGGTACCGATTACACATAATTCCTCACAACTTATCGTAGTACTTCAAAAAAAGCGACGCGGTTCCTAATGGGGTGTGTGATCACCACGGACAGCAGTAAACGCTCTGCAACGCGATCCCATACTTTTCACAGAGTTGGAAATGAGTTATTGTGGTACGGCATTCCACTGCTCTATCAGCGCAGTTGACAATTGCTGGATGGTCAGTGGTGCACTTGGACGTACTGTAATGCTTCTACCCAGTGCGTCCTACACGTGCGCCATGAGATTCAGGTCGGGGGAACGGGCAGGCCACTCCATTCGCTGGGTAATCTCTTGTGTCAGGAGCTCTCTCACCTGAGCTGTTCGATGCGGTCGCGCATTGTTATCCATAAAAATGAATTCAGAGCCCACTGCGGCCATGAAAAGATACTTATTGGAGAGTGTTTCCTTCTCACAGTAACGCCGACTGTTAATGGTCCCGCGCTCAAAAATCTGGAGTTCGGTGCGGTTATGAAACATGATGCCTCCCCATACCATAACACCTCGACCACCAGAACGGCCAAGTTCCGCAACGATTCTGAGAGACGTGCGTGTCCGCACTTCTAGCCATGAGGGTGCGTCCACAATCACTACTCGGACTGGATCTGCTCCCATCCGAGAAGAGCAAACGGCCCCATTCATCATCTGTCCGTTCGCTATGCTCCTGGCACCACCTTAAACAGTCTCGCCGATTCGCGAGGGTCAAAGGAACACCACCTAGTGGTCGTCGGGCGAAGAGACCGCAACCGTGCAGTCGTCGTGCCACTGTAGTGCGTATTATGGCTGGCTCTGAAATCCTGTTAAATGACATTGCAATCAAGGGAGCTGACTGACGTGGATAACTTCTTGCCTGCTGCACAATGTGGCTTTCATACCTTAATGTAGTTGTTCTTGGTCGACCACCTCCTCTCCTTTGTGCAGCAGTATCAGAGGTTCGGAATGCTCTCCATGCACGTGAAACAACGCTGTAAGCGATATCAGGTTCCTGAGCTGCGTTCGTCTTTTTCGACCTTTTTCGAGTTTCCCGAGTTTCCCGATGAACCTTCCTCGTGCCAGGTTCTCCAGACGATGTCTGCGGGATATGATGCACAGAAGGATAATATCACAGTACTTGGTAGCTACTGGCTGATTGGCAAAAAAATTTTTTCGTACCTATCAGCTGCCTCGATTTGTACGGGTAGCCATATTTCTCGCTTTATTTGTACTATTACTCCACGTAGGGATGTCCAACTTCCTGTGCATAATCATAGGTCTGGCAATATAATCCCACACTTTCATTTATTTCCACCCA